ACCAAATAGAGTACGTGTTTAAAATTATAATAGAGCTCAAAAAAATATCTTATGACTTTCCATTATGCACTGACTGTCTCTTTAGCACTGAGGTTACTACTTTGGTATCGAACTGATTTCCTATCGCTTTACTTGTTTCAAGTAAATAATTATGATTGCGGTTTTGAAAATCCAGTGCAGTAGACTTACCAGTATGCCACACGCACACACACATGCAGCTCAAACGACCTCTGATTACACCAGTTTCTCGGCTTTTTTCGCCTCGAATTCTGGCGTAAATAATGCCTACTGATTAGGTTGAATGGACAAAACACTGTGTCATGTTTCAGAATATTCACTGGGTAAACTCTTAACTAGGTCATCTGCCTCCACTTTTCATCACTTTTATTAATAGTCCATTAAATAATCTACCTTCATTGTAGGGGATGGATGAGTTGCTTGTGACTATGCTAACCAATCACTTTGTTTTCCCCATCATAAAGTTAATTACTGGGGTTTCCACTCTATCTCTACATTTTTAAGCTTTTCTTCACGTAACAATGTATACAACTAAATAATGATGTCTGTTTTGATTGATATGGTTCATAATCTGTCAGCCGGTCAGTATCACTACTGTGTAACGGTCGGAGTTGCTGTGCCTTGTCTCAGCACATCAAGATACTAGGCAGCGAGGCGAAATCTAAAGGAATGAAAAGTCGTGAAAAGCTGTAGGACGAAAAAGGATGGGGTAAAGCAAATAACGCAATGTGGCATAATGATTAAAATAAAGATAAGGTAAATGTGTATGCTCCACTGTATGTAATCTAGTCTCCAACAATCGGACTAGGCTATCTCATGAACAGCAAACTGGAAACCTACACCTTCTTACACAACTCAGACTAACAGTCAGAGACTTCAATGTCTCGTGTTACATTTCACTCTGACGACTCCTAACCTTCTTCTAAACTAATCCTACTTCATTCAACACTGCGCATCAGAGTAGGTGGTGGTGAAGCATGTGCAACACGATCCTAGCCATCTGAGACATTTATGGTTTACAACCTCATCAGGTGACTTATCTCTTTGCCTAAGACTTTGCCTAACTTTTTACATTTCTGTTATAGTGATTACACGATTTGCGAGCAATGCTTCTAAAACAGCGGAGGTTAAACACCTGAAAAATTCTGATATGTCGTGCAACTTCAATGGTCATGTTTCACAGCAGAATGCTGTGCTGTACACTCTACCTTTAGTAGAAGATTGGGTATTCCACCGGTACCACAAGTAAAATTAGCAAAAGCCAATTGATCGTTTTGTATATATATAGACATTTAGCCGATCAATAATCCACCAAAGTTGATCTGAATTCCCAAGTGAAATCTTCGATTAGCTCAAACACTTCACGCCCCATTGTCAGACGATGTATTAACCCAAACAGTACATAGACATTTGCGCATATACTCACTACTAGTTTGGTCTGATATTATCCTCCATATAACCAATGGTTTAAGTGGGTAAACAGGCAGATAAAACCAACGCATAGCCTCACACACAGGTGCATCGACCCAAGTTGCAACAATTTACAGTAGTACACGAAGAACAGATGCATAAGAAAATGATATCAAAGTACACAAAGTTGTATAAGAGAATAAACAATCTGAAGATAAATGTTAGTGCGAATGTTCAAGCTGCAGAAGATGTCAAGGAGTTAATGCACCTGCACCATTATGAGTTGACGATTTTCAGCCATGTCATCAATAGTTCTCAATCACCGATTCCCTTCGTCTCAGAGACCCCTACCAGACAGTCTACATCTCCCCACACGGGTCAGGCCAACAGTAAGAGACTTTATCGACTGGTACCACATCTTGGTCTGACCACTCTGAACCTTCTTCCAACCTAATCCAATTTCCCTTGCATGGCATGTTGAGGTGGGTGGCGGATCGGCATGTGAAGTATTTGTCCAAGAGACCTCAGTCGACTTAGGTTCACAACTTCATCAGTCGACGTAACTGTCTTGCCTAATAGCTTTCGCCTGACTTCAACATTACTCACACGGTGATTCCACCAAACGCCAGCAATGCTATGAAAATATCTCTGATCAAAATTCTGTAGTCACTTCATATCTCCTACTTTTAACCGCGATGTCTCACAACTGAACAACAGGAGGGAACAGACCTCAGTGAAGTATACTCGTCCTGTAATAGGCAGTCAGATAGCTCACCGACACAACAGATGACTCAAGATGGCAAATGCCGAACGTGTCTTCTGTATCCGGGCCGAGATTTTGTCCGCAACCAGCCCGTCCGGGTTGATGCAACTCCTTAAGTAGGTAAAGTGGTCGACACATTCCACCATTTCACTCCCTATGATAAGGCAGGGAGTACTTGCAACAGGGCAGTCATGCTTGGAGCATCACCTTACATTTGGCAGATGCCAGTGAAACACATGCCAGTCAGATTTCAGCTCAACGTTTTGTAGAATCCCCTGCATTCTGTCGGTGCTTTTACCTTACAGGACAATATCGTCTGCATGCTCTATGTCAACCAAATGACCTGCAGGGATTAGGTCAGTTCCTGTGATGTCAGATGTACCTAAGGTTGTGTCCACTAGTACTCCCATGGCGAAGTTAAATAGGAACGGTAACTGTGGGCATCCATGGCGGACACTAGTTGTCGTCAACTGAAATGAAAGCTCTCCATAAGCCCTGATGTGCTTTCAAGTAATGTGCTTTGACTAGCGTTATATACTTCTTTGGTACTCATTTCACAGACAGACATTGCTACACCTCACGGTCGACTGAGTCGAACGCCGCCTTCAGGTCGAGAAATATGACAAGTGTCGGCCACCGGTGGGTACACCTGTATTCCAGAATTTGTCGTAAGGGGAAAATATGGTCGGTGCACCTTCGTTCAGGTCGGAAACCTGCCTCGTCTTCTCGAGTTCGCTGTTCTCGAACTCCAATTAGACATCGGATAACTATGATCTTTAGTATCTTGGACACAAACTAATTCACCTATTTAAACCAACTGGTCCCTTTAGCTAAGTTGATAGCTTATCACAAAATTCATCCTTTGCACCATCCCAACTGCAGTCGATGGGTGCACAGGCGCAGATTACGAATAGGTATCGCATAGTCTCATAATTGTTCTTAGTTCTTAAAGATCCAGTCAGTTGAACAGCACATACACAGCTGTTGACTGGCATCCAGTCAGAAGGCGCTCTTTCTGCTCTACAACTTACCGTCTATACTGCTTGATAATGTTAAGGCCTGGACGGTTATTTGTAATGAAGAACATGGGGAATCTCCTCAAGCTGATACGGATGAATTACCCGAATGGTCTAAACGTCTAGGTCTTGGAATTAATCCCCAGAAAAAGTGCAGTAATGAACGTTGGTAATGGGTACTTTTATCAATTTTTAATGAGGTGTCGCCGTTGACTTGCGTCAAAGAAAAGTTACGAACAGGGTTGTAGAGTAAAACAACAACAATATGAAAGTTTGGGTACTACTGTGGATGAAACCTTTAGATTCGAAACTAAACTTCAGAACATCTTACTCTACGTTGGTTAAAGTAGGCTTAAAAAACTGTTAAATTAACAGGGCAACAAGGTTTACCAGTAAGAGAAAATTTGAGACAAGAAACCAGACACATTAGGTATACGTTACTTCTTAGTACGCCCACTAGCTGAATGTCTCGATAGATTAGTAAGGATTTTTAAGAAAAATATTACTAATGGTAACACGATAAAAATAATAGTGATGGCAACACTACGAAGATTCAATTCAAATTACTGTAGTTACTATACAATGGAGACATGATGAGAACGTTACGGTTGATTCTGGATAAAAATGGGATTCGAGTGGCATTCAAAACTGAGTTACTGTCCTAAAAACTAAGTTGGGTGGAGGAGAAGGTTGAGCACTGAATTCTTGTTTATCGAATCAACACAAAAAGCATGAAAAAAGAATGGCTCGGCAACTTCCAAATATACGGCAAATTCTGCTACCCATATCACGAAGCAGAAGTAACTGAAACTATGCAAACGACTCACCGAAGCTATGGATTTATTTTTCCTTCTTTTACAAGAATAGGGTTGTAATACTTATCATCAGAATGAATCTAAAATGAACTCCATTAACAATTCCACTTCAAATTTACTACACTAATTTTCAAGCTGTTTCTCTGAAGTAGCTCGATTTTTGAAAATAGATTTTCTACTCACTTGTGATATATACCTCTTAAATAATAATTACAGCATCAGCAAAATCTCAATCGGTAGATAACGAAGCTTTCATGCCAAACTCGAAGAAGAGTTTGGAAGTATTTAGCAGTCGAAACTTGAAGAAACTAGCACAGTTGCTACAGATATGACGTTTTTGATTATATGGGCATTCTGAAGTGCCTCTAAGTGTTTTCCGTGAGGATATACGTTTTTAAAACTTCTCAAGATATCATCCTGAAGATGGCGCGCAGGAAGCAGGTCAATGTTTGAAAAAAGAAGCGTGCACGGCAAAACAAGTTCAAAGACTAGGTGTCAAGCTCCAGACAGAACTTTCACATCCCTATGAAATGCAGAAGGATGGCTAGGTCCTCATTCTTTATCTTGCTAAACAGATGAAAAACATTTTAATATCCGAAGAATTTTCCGCGAAGACTTTGCCATGTCTTAAGGACATAAATAATCAAACAAATAAATTAGAGTATGACAAATATCATATCTCAAAACGACTGAGAGAAACCCTTGAGAACCTATTTGGACTTTCCTTACTCGGGGAATACAATTCTAAAGCAGATATTTCCATCTCACCAGATATCCTAATACCAGCGAAAAAATCAGTTTTTTGATATTAAAATAGAAAGAATGTCAACGAAAAAAATCATTATTAAAGCTGAAAGTTACCGGTTTTAAAAGATGTATAATGTTGCATTACAACGTCTAGACGTCTTGATAGAACCCACCAGTAGCGACTAGCTGTCGGTAGGTTTTTATCTAGCCTGTAGGTAGGTAGACACGTTGTTACAGGGCAGCGTATAGAAAAGGAAACTTAGTAGTGACCAGGAGAACCTAAAAGGAAAAGAGGAGGATGAAAAGTGAACCAATGACTCGGTAAGTGAGTTTACTTACGTTTAATAATAAAAGGTGAGTGAAAAACGGTAGGGCTTGATGAAAAGATGAGGGAGTCTATAAGTCGAATGAATGAGTGAGGTTTCAAACGAGACAGACACCTTGAAAGCAACGCAATCCTTATTCAGTGCGCTTTCAATGTCCAATCTGCCCTTTCGACTAGTATAAAACACTTGATTTCTTCGTTCTCACTTCTAGATGTTGCGGAAAGGTCCAAGGTCTGCGATGGATTCCAACCACGTAGGTCTACTCACTTGCCGTCTGTATATTTGACAAGCTCGACGGGTGGTTGGGTGTTGATTAAACTTGCAGGGATTGCATGATTTTCCCAAGGACTGCGGAACAGATAGGTTGCTCAAATGCTGTATCATAAGATGGTTGATCGGACTGGTCCTAAAAAGAAAATTTAAAGGGCGCTTACCGAAATCAAGAGAGAGGAAGTGCGAAGAATATGTTAAAGGAAGCTGAACGGTAAGGAAGGAGAAACCTAGGCAGTTTTACGGGAGGCAAGTGATAAAGAGAACTTTAACAAGTAGTGTTAAGTCATAGATTCAAAGGAAAGAGAGGGAGCAAGTGAGATTAAGGGGTGAGTTATGGGAATAGAGATAGTAACACTACTATTAGTGGATGGTAACCGGAGGAGACATCAGGGAAGTGTTAGGTTGAGTCAAGTTCGCTATGAGGATGGAGGTACAAAAGATTTGGTATAACGCTGATTGTGCCAGGTTAAGAGGGATTAGTAGTGTACCGGAAATAGTAGGAAAATCCCTTCTACAGGACCTTTAAAGTTATATTTACCTTTACTGTTGTAGTGTCATACACTTCCCCAAAATCAATAGCCTAGGGTTTGACGACTTCGACATTGATGCTGACCTTGATAGTTTAACTGGACTCGCTAAGCTGAAGGCATCCGGTCAAGCATCCTCGCCATTTGGCACGCTGTCGTGTTACGTTGCATTGCTCGTATTCGACTCTCTAGCCAGTTAGTTGGAACGCATCGGTATTTTGGCATAACCATCCAAATATACTATTCCATCCGACTACGCTATCGTGTTCTTCCTTGGTCTCGTATTCGTGGGTATATAACAAGTTCGAATAATTAGTGATTGGTCTTTGCGTCTGTCAAGTTCGCACCAGGACAAATCCTAAATTGGTGAGCCCGACGTGATCACATATCCCGAACAATAGCAAGTATTGAATTGGTGAGCCTGTTCCATTTTATATTTGTTTATTGTTTTCATTTCGATAACATTTATATATCCATTTACTACACTTTCTCATGTCCGACCACACTCCCAAGCTTATTCGTATTAAGCCGACCTCGAACACGATCCAACTCGTGCCATATTGGCCAGACAATGCAGAAACATGGTTTCTGTATGCCGAGGCCGATTTTCGAGAACAGGGTGTCTCAGATCCTCATCTCGATTTCTTGCTGTCATACGTTCACTACCGCGAGAATTAAACAGGTTGTTACAGCAAACATGTTTAATCCTGAAGTAAGTGACCCTTATGCACTTCTAAAGGCTGCACTCTTGAAGAAAAGCGATCTCACAGATCGCCAACGTCTAGACGAATTGCTTCGTAACATCGAGCTAGGCAGCCACTCAGCTACTGAAGTCCTCGCACGCATGCGAGAAGTAATCGGTGCACGAACATTTGACGATGGTTTCTTCCGAGAACTATTTCTCTCGAAACTACCACAACCGGTGCAAACCGTGTTGGTGACACTCCAGTCAGTCCCACTCGACGACCTGGCAGCTTCAGCAGATAAAATACTGGAGATATCCAGCAGACCCGTCTCCAACGTATATTCTATCTGTGACAAAACAGAGCGCCAGGATTCGGAGGTGACCAAGTTGTGCAACTCTGTGAAACGGTTGCTACGATCTCGAAGTCCTAGATCACGTAGCACTTCACAGAAACGCACCTTGGCGCATCGCAGCAAGTCGCGTGGTAGCCCTAAAACGAAACCCAACAGGGTGGAAAACCCTGAATGGTGCTGGTTTCATAACACTTACGGGGATGAAGCCAGAAAATGTCGTAAACCATGCCGTTTTAAGAAGGACCGAACTCGGGAAACGGTCACGCCGGCACGTGCTCACGGCAACCGTAGCCGGCGGAAAAAGCCGTTTGCTCTACGTCACCGACATTAAAACGAAAGTCCGCTACCTCGTCGACACCGGCGCAGAAGTTAGCGTTCTTCCAGCAACGACAAAGGAGCGTCATCTCGACCCATCCTTCAATCTTCAAGCAGCCAACGGCAAGGCAATCGCGACATTCGGGAGACGGTATGCCTACCTCAACTTAGGTTTACGCAAACCTATTCACTGGATTTTCCTCCTGGCAGACGTCTCTATGCCTATCATTGGCATAGATTTGCTGAACCATTACGATCTACTCGTAGATGCTCGCCGTCGACGACTGATAGATAACAACACAAAGTTATCTATTGGCGGCACCACCTATGTAGGTCCGAGTTTAGCCATCGTTAGGACTAAACAATCAGACGACGCGTCCTACCAGGCAGTTCTGGAGAAATATCCAGAGTTACAACAACCGAAACACACTCTTCCGTGCATAACCAGCAATGTTATGCATCACGTCACAACCACAGGTCCACCTGTGGCATCCAAAGCTCGCCGTTTAGCCCCCGATAAGCTGCAAACGGCGAAAAATGAATTCGACCATATGCTGGAACTGGGCATTATCAGACCGTCGAACAGTCCTTGGGCATCGCCATTGCACATGGTGCCCAAAAAGGATAGCAACGACTGGCGTCCGACCGGTGATTACCGAAGGCTTAACGCCAAAACAACTCCGGACTGCTACCCTATACCCCACGTTTACGACTTGACCGCAACCTTATGCGGCATGAACATTTTCTCGAAAATCGACTTAGTCAAAGCGTACAACCAGATACCTATGGCAGCAGAAGATATCGCGAAAACAGCCATTATTACTCCTTTTGGCCTGTTTGAATTCCTGCGCATGCCTTTTGGTCTTCGGAATGCAGCACAAACATTCCAACGCTTTATGGACGACGTCTTCCGTGGTCTGAATTTTGTTCATGTCTACATAGATGACTGTCTAATTGCGAGTCCAGATAAGGAAACACACCTTAAACATTTGGACCTCGCATTCGAAAGACTCAAAAAACATGGCATCACAGTTAACTTACAGAAGTGTGAAATAGGAGTTGAATCACTCAGCTTCCTTGGGCATACCATTGACAACAAAGGTATACGCCCATTGAGAGATAAAGTGGCGGCTATCACAAACTATCCAGAGCCGACCACTGTGAAACATCTCCGCACTTTCAATGGCCTGGTAAGTTATTACCGAAGGTTTATCCCTAACTGTGCCTCTGTCATGAGACCACTCACAGATCTACTTCGAGGAACTGCGAAGTTCGTGTCTCTGGACAACGCGGCTAGACTTGCTTTCTCCAAAGTCAAGGAAGCCATTTCGAACGCAACCATGCTTATGCATCATGACCCCAATGCTCCTCTGAGTATTGCTGTTGATGCATCTGATTCAGCAATTGGAGCAGTTTTGCAACAGTTGACTGACAACCAGTGGCAACCGTTAGCCTTTTTCTCGAGGCGGCTGCAAGACGCGGAAACAAGATACAGTACATTTGGTAGGGAACTCCTAGCCATGTACTGTTCTGTACGCCATTTTCGACATTCTGTGGAAGGTCGTGATTTCATTATTTTCACAGACCACAAACCGTTAACGTTTTCCCTCAGCTCGGCGTCTGACAAATACTCCCCTCGTGAGTCGCGACAGCTGGATTACATTTCCCAGTTCACGTCAGACATCCGCCACATTTCTGGAGCAAACAACTCCGCAGCCGACGCACTATCTCGAATAGCTTCGATAAACTATATCGAGGGTATTGATCTCGTTGAACTAGCTCGGCGTCAAAAGGAAGACCTTGAGCTGCATCATGAGTTGTCGTCCACAACTCTCAAACTGCGACTTTGTCCTGTTGGATCAGACAAGGATGCAATTTTGTGCGATGTCTCTGCTAGTCAACCACGCCCAATAGTTCCGAAGAGTTGTCGACGCAACGTCTTCAATACGTTGCACAAACTCTCTCATCCAGGTGTACGAGCCACCATTAGGCTTATCGCACAACGTTTCTGCTGGCCTGGGATGAACAAAGACGTTAAGGAGTGGGCCCAGTCGTGCTTAGCTTGTCAAAAGTGTAAAGTCACGCGACACACGAAAAGCCCTTTAGGCTCATTTCTAGCCCCAGACATGCGTTTCGACCACGTCCATATAGATATTGTAGGACCCCTACCAGAATCTAATGGATGTACCTACCTTTTCACCTGTGTTGATCGTTTCACACGATGGCCGGAAGCAGTACCCATTAAAGATATTACTGCCGAAACAGTTGCTCGTGTTTTCGTCGAAAGATGGATCGCGAACTTCGGATGTCCATCCTACGTCACAACCGACCGTGGGCGCCAATTTGAGTGCGGACTATTTCACGCTCTAACGGCACTTTTAGGTTGCACTCGGTTCCGAACGACAGCCTACCATCCACAAGCAAATGGCATGGTAGAGCGTTTCCATCGACAGCTGAAAGCTTCCCTTTCAGCTACAAACATACCTCAGTGGACCGAGGCTCTGCCTCTAGTCCTACTAGGTATTCGTAACGCGTTGAAAGTTGATGCTGGATGCACTCCTGCAGAACTCGTCTATGGGACCACTCTTCGCCTACCAGGTGAGTTTGTTTCCCCTTCAACTTTCAAACATGTTTCCGATAGGGCATCTTATGTGACTAGGCTTACAAACGCAATGCGTTCAGTTAGGCCTTCTCCGATTAGACCGCAAACGACTGATGTTTTCGTCCACCCCAGTTTACAGAAGACATCACACGTGTTTGTTCGCCACGACGCTGTTCGTCGACCACTTGAACCACCCTACGACGGGCCGTTCAAAGTGATTAAGCGACATGAGAAATTCTATGTAATTGAGCGAGGCGGACGCGAAGATACTGTCAGTATCGACCGTTTGAAACCAGCTTATTTCGAAGGCAACCCCATTGTAAGTGACGTTTCAGCTCGCTACATCCGGCCGACGGATGACTCAATTATCGAAATTCTCGACGATGTGCCTGGTAATGCACAGCTGCAAC